CTAAATATATATATATATATATATATATTAAGGTGGTCCTTAATATGGATATTTTCGATTTTTTTGCTCAAAGTGCTCAAATGCTTCCAAATTGATATAAAAAAAATCCCTGAAAGTTTGAGCTCTTAATATTAACATCTAGATAGTCCGCAATTCAATTAAAATTTTCGTATATTCATTATTAACATATGTCATTAAGTAAATGGTTGCGCCATCTGTGATAACAGACTTGTAATTTTGATGGCAAAACCAAAATCACCGATTAAATAATTAGTTTGCTGCAAATTTAATATATTGATGTCATGATATATAAATATTTTGATAAACAGCCCACATGGACTTAGAGGTTAAGCGATTTATAAATATTTTTAGGTGTAATAATATTTGAGCTCAAAAATGCTATCACGCAAGAATTACTTAATAATAAATATACGAAACTTTTAATTGAATTGCGGACTATCTAAATGTTGATATTAAGAGGTAAAACTTTTAGAGGATTTTTTTAATTAATTTCGAAGCATGTGAGCCATTGGGAGCAAATAAATTCTAAAATGTACATATTAAGGACCACCCTAATGATATATATATAACAAATATATGATAAACTTCTGAACTAAAAACCTCCTTCTTGGACAATTTTTTTTCAATTATTTTATTGTAACTTTTCGGGATGTGAGATGTCCTTTTTTTCAGAAACTTTTGATAACTTCACTTTTTTACTTTAATGACTAACTTAACTGACAGAAAAAGTGATGTCTTCAATTTTGTAATAAATTTATATGTGTATAAATATGTAATAAACATTTTTGCATTTGTTATCAAAACTTTTGGTAGAGAAGGCCCATTTTGCTAAAAATTAAATAAACAATTTTTCAAAGTAAAATGTAGGCTTTTAGTTCAGGTATTTAATAATAACTATACAGAAATAGCTATTATTATTAATATATATATATATATATATATATATATATATATATATATATATATATATACGAGGTCTGTTCAAAAAGTACCCGGAATTTTCGTTTTTTCAAAAAAATATTTATTTATTCGTCTACATTAATGTGGTCCCCTTCAAAGTAGTCCCCCCAGATATAATACACTTATGCCAGCGTTTTTTCCAATTTTCGAAGCACCCTTGATATTCACTTTTTGATATGTCCTTGAGCACTCTCGGCGATTTTCTTCAATCGAGGAAAACCGCCGTCCTTTCATGGGTCTCTTCAACTTTGGGAATAGGAAAAAGTCACACGGAGCCATATCTGGTGAATTTTTGCACTTTGCAACACTTTATTTCATTTTTTACGCAAAATTTAATACAAATTCTTTGACTTTTCAATTCTTCCATTGTAAAAATCGCCGAGCTCAGAAAAACACGTCGAACCTTAGCGACTACCACAGACAAAGTAAACAGTGAATATAGCTGAAAATTTCATCATACTTTAGGGGCATGTATACCAACACAATAAAAAAAAAATTTTGACAATCAGACACTCCAGACCCGTGAAATTTAATTATTAGTAATTCCGGGTACTTTTTGAACACACCTCGTATATATATCTTGTCTCTAATATTTTATATTAACCTTAAAGGATGATTCATAGATACATTAATTTTCTTCGTTTGTTCATAAGTTTGTTTCGATACGTGCATTTGTATTGTTTCATCACATAAGACTAATATACCATCGGACGTTATGCCTATATCTAATTGTATTGAATTAAAGCCTCGGGAAATGCACTGGAACAAAAATAATTGTATTTATATAAGCGCACTGAGGCAAATATTGTAATAATTGATTTTGAATGTGAACATTGTAAGAAGAAAAGTAGATATAGTAATAAATAATATACAGCTATGTGTGTTAAAAAATATGACTAGTTGTGTGATTTTAGATGTTAATAGTAAGAAAAACATATTTGTAGTCTACATGTGGAACAAAAATGTTTGTGAGATGTTTTATGATAAAGATAAAGTTATGTTTGACTCTATGGATGTAATATGAATGATGTGTTTTATAATTGAAATAGCCGACAAAGAATTTGCATCAGCAATGATGTATAAGGAGCAATATGAAAGCAAAATTAAGCTTTAAGATATTTTCAATCTACTTCTTACAACAGTTCACATTCAAAACCCTGTATCTATTATTAACATGTTTAATAGCCGTCAATGTGTTTCCAGGTGCATCAAAACAAGCTCCTCCTTTGGCAAACGCCCAGGTGACTCCGATATCCGATTTATTAGGATCAGGACCCAAAACTTGTGCCACCAATTTGGAATTTGGTGTTGAAGATCTGAATATCTTAAAAAAACACCATAAGGTAAAAAATAGCATGGCAGCCCAAGGAATGCCGACTGTAGCAACGTCTCGGATCACCCATAATATATCGAGGCATATTCTGAATATCAAATAAGCATAATAAAATAATTGATATATCATAGTGCAAATTATGTTTTTAAATTGACATAACGCAGTAAACAAACAAACGCGACTTCGGTCGTGGGTGTGACATTAGTGTTGCCAGAGGAGGAGGATAATCGATAAGGAGGGAAAAGATTGATGGATGAGTTTGACAGGACAATAAAATTTTGATTTTTTGTTGAAATTAACATTTGGTATCAGTAGAGTAATGTACGTTTGTATTTATATCATTTTAATAATAAGTGTGAGCAATATATCAATTTCATTTTCATAAATGTGATCAATTGTGCATAACTAACCTGGTTGTCAAAGTAAGTTTTATTTGTATATTTTTTTTTACATTGTGTTTATAATTGTATACATATTTGTGTTAACATCCTAGTTAAGAAAGCACATATCTATTGTTTGATGATTTCTTACCTATTTCGATAAATCTAGAATGATTCCAATATTTTTGAAATCCGTTACTGGTTTTTCCGAAAATTCGTATTTAATTTTCTCACTATCATAAATCTTTGCCTTGCTGCGTCGTTGTCTTCGAGTAATTAAAACACTTTAAGAATTCATAAATAAAGATATGTTAAATATAATATACCCTTTTCAAAATCACAATAAATAATTATATTATATTTTATTAATCGTCCATTTTTCTATCGCCGCTTATTGGACCAATCAGCGTTTTCCTTTATCTTTTCTTCGGGTTTCTTCGTATCCTTACGATACTCTTCGTCTTGGGTATTTATTTATATGCTAGTGGTGTCCATACTAATAAAATATAGTTTATAGGGGTGTAAAAATTGCATAATATTGCGATCATAACTAGTTGAAAGTGGCATTTTGTTTTAAAGCAAAATTGTATTTAGAATGTTTTTGCAAAAATTGCAATTAAAAAGTTAGTACGTAAAATGCTCTTTCATTCGGTTGAAGTTTCAGTTCAGAATCCGCGTCAAAAAAGAATTATTTCAAATGGTTGGTTGTCAAAGTAAGTTTTATTTTTTTATTTATTTATTAACTTCCTGTAGGGTAAGTTATTGTAATGGGCCGAAAATCGAAATTGAAAATTTTTACATTTCTCGACGTTTTGAAGGTTTCTGAACATTTTGGCATACCTCAGAAAAAAAAGGATGTGTGTGTGTGTGTGTGTATGTATGTATGGATACAATTTTTTGTCCACGTTTTTGGGTGCACGGATCAACCGATTTGAATGGTTCAAAAAACATTCGATCCCTATTGATAGGGAAAAGAGCTGATTAGTTTTTGGCGAAGGCAGGTCCAGCCGTTTCGGAGATACGGAGCAACGAATGCAGAAAATAGAGATCGACTTTTTGAGAGAACGGAGTATCCGATTTGAATGATCTAAAAAACATTCAATTAGTAATGATTGGGAGAAGTGTTTATTAGTTTTTTGGCAAAGGCAGGCCCAGCCATTTCGAAGATACGGAGCTAAATATGTGAAAAATAGCAGTTTTTGAGAGAACTAAGCGTCCGATTTAAATGATTCAAAAAACTTTCTGCTTGTCTTAACAAAATAATTGATTTTCGAAAAAAAAAATTCTATAATTTTTTTTTTTTTTTTTAGTTTTTCTTGTTTATCAAAAATAATTCAGATTTTATTTTTATTCCGACTAAAGTTCTAATATAACTTAAACAAATAATTTTAAATTTGCAATTCAGTTTATAAACTGCTTATAAATATTAGACAATGTTACAATATTTATAATAATCTATTTGAAAACATTCAATATTCCTCGAACATTTCGTTACGGTACGGGAAGTTCCAGCAATTTGCCTTAAGGCACGATGCCACCCACCCCACTAGTTTTTATTTGTAATTGATTATTGGTAATTATCATTCAATGGGGTTGATAAGTATTAAAAATGGTTTTATTAAAGATTTAGATAAGATTTTAGACCTATTTTCTGTATACAAGATATTTATTTAATTTTTTTCAATGTTCTCAAAGTTTAATAAATAGTAATTTATACATACATACATACATACATATAAAAATATATATATATATATATATTTATTCATTTATTAAAACAAACAAATTTTGAATATTTCAATCGTTTATTTCACAAATCTATTTCCCCATCTGGCAACACTCTTGTGTCATAACCCTATTCATAACCAAACTTAACCTACAAATTTCACACAAAATTTATTTGACATTTATCTTTTATCATCATGAATAACTCGCGTTTACTAAAAACATTCCTCATCGAGAATGTTCTATCGCGAAAATTAAGTTCGGCAAGTGCTCAAGTGACAAAAATCCATCGAAAAGTCTACGCTCGCATGTACCCCACAGTCCTGGTGCTCCCCGATGGCTCCAGTGTCAATATAAGGTATCACGAGCCCCGTAAAATCATCACACTGCCATTAAATTTGGCCACTCTGAGCGAGGCTGAAAGAAAAGCAAGGCTGGAGAAACGTAAACCCAAACAGAAAGTCAAAATCGTGGAAGATCTAGAAGACAATTTTAATTCGAATAAATATCTTAAGTATATTAAAAAAAAGTAATACAATTTGTGTAAAATAGCATCTATTAGTAATAAACTTATTATAAGTTTTGAATTCATGTTTCTTTTGCACTACGATTCGTGAATGATCTTTGTAGGTAGTAGTTTCGTTTAGGTATATTTGCTGTTATGGGTCGGTCGCGTTTTAAATTTACGAAGGGGGCATGTCCTTTGATCTCAGGGCCCACTTTTGTTAGCATGTTTAAGGGAAGTGCTTGTGTGCAGTTTGCAATGCAATTGATATTGTCTAATTCTTCTAAAGACAGGGGTGTTAGGAGATAGATTTTGTCCTTGGCGACACCTCGCACAATACCTAGAATAGATAACAGAAATATTTTAAAAACTGCAATCAAAATTTCCAAACACTTGCTAACTGGATTTTCTAGCAAAAACCTCAACCCTCTCCTTTGGAAAGTTTATTAAAATCTTTTACCCTTACCAAATCCTAAACAATTCAATCCTGTTTTCAAATTATGGGGCAACAAATTCAAGCCACATTCAGTTTTTGTCTTTAACTCATTTCGAACATTGCACAAGGCCACGATGTTTGTATTCAGACTGCTCGCTATCAAGTTTGGAGCCAGGGTATCGATTGACCAAATTTTTAGTTTAGAAAGACTGGCTCTGCAATAAATGATCGTTAGAGATTTTGAAATATTAATTAAAATAAACTACAGACAGTGGTATCCCGACATACGAGTTTAATTGAAGCAACAATAATTGTCATATAAATATATTGAAATGCCCTTCATTTATTAATAAAAATTAATGTACTATTTATTAATTTAATTATTAGACATGTTTCGTTAAACAATTCCCATGTAAGTTAGTAGAGTCTTTTCCATGTCAGTAGAGTTTTTTTTTATTTTAGATTTAGTTTCTTGTAAATAACGATGTTTAGATTTTGTGAGCCAGTAGAGTCCTTTTTTATTTAGTATTCGCTTTAATTAAAATTAAAGATTATATATGTTCATTCAATTAGTTCATTTATTAGAGTCTTTCATTAGAGAGTACTTTTTGTGTCAGTAGAGTCCTTTTTTATTCCAGAATATCATTCTCTTTCATTTGCAATATATGAAAATAAGTTTAATTGTGAGTAGAGTCCTTTTTTAGCAGTAGCCATTTTTATTCTAAATTATCATTTTCTTTATGAAAATAAATTTTTTTGTCAGTAGAATCCTTTGGCCCGTCAATAGAGTCCTTTTTCCTGTCAGTAGAGTCGTTTTTATTCTAAATATCATCTCTTTTATTTTGCAATCTATGAAAAATAAATTTGCATGTCAGTAGAGTCCTTTTTCATTCTCTATCATTTTGCAATCTATGAAAAAAAAATTTGCTTGTCAGCAGAGTCCTTTTGCCAGTCAGTAGAGTCCTTTTTCTGTCAGTAGAGTCCTTCTTCTGTCAGTAGAGTCCTTTTTCTGTCAGTAGAGTCCTTTTTTATTCGCTTCCATTTTGCAATCTATGAAAAAATAAATTTGCTTGTCAATAGAGTCCTTTTTCTGTCAGTAGAGTCCTTTTTTATTCGCTTCCATTTTGCAATCTATGAAAAAATAAATTTGCTTGTCAATAGAGTCCTTTTTCTGTCAGTAGAGTCCTTTTTTATTCGCTTCCATTTTGCAATCTACAAAAATAAATTTGCCTGTCAGTAGAGTTCCTTTTATCTGCCAGTAGAATTATTTTGCTTGTCAGTAGAGTCCTTTTTTATTCTAAAATATCATTGTCTTTCATTTTGCAATCCATGAAAATAAATTTGCCAGTCAGTAGAATCCTTTTTCTGTCAGTAGAGTCCTTTTTCTGTCAGTAGTCCTTTTTCTGTCAGTAGAGTCCTTTTTTATTCTTTTCCATTTTGCAATCTACAAAAATAAATTTGCTTGTCAGTAGAAACCTTTTGCCCGTCAGTAGAGTCCCTTTTCTGTCAGTAGAGTTCTTTTTTATTCTAAAATATCATTGTCTTTCATTTTGCAATCCATGAAAATAAATTTGCCAGTCAGTAGAATCCTTTTTCTGTCAGTAGAGTCCTTTTTCTGTCAGTAGTCCTTTTTCTGTCAGTAGAGTCCTTTTTTATTCTCTTTCATTTTGCAATCTATAAAAATAAATTTCCAGAGTCAGTAGAGTCCTTTTGTAGGTCAGCAGTGTTATTTTGCTCGTCAGTAGAGTCCTTTTTTATTCTATTTCATTTTGCAATCAATGAAAATAAATTGCCAGAGTCAGTAGAGTCCTTTTGTAGGTCAGCAGAGTTATTTTGCTCGTCAGTAGAGTCCTTTTTTATTCTCTTTCATTTTGCAATCTATGAAAATAAATTGCCAGAGTCAGTAGAGTCCTTTTGTAGGTCAGCAGAGTTATTTTGCTCGTCAGTAGAGTCCTTTTCTATTCTCTTTCATTTTGCAATCAATGAAAATAAATTGCCAGAGTCAGTAGAGTCCTTTTGTCGGTCAGCAGAGTTATTTTGCCCATCAGTAGAGCCTTATTTTATTGCCACTTATTTTTTATTTTTTGTCAGTAAAATCCTTTGCCTGCTAGTAGAGTTCTTTTTACGTGACAGTGGAGTCCTTCAGAATGTAGATAGAGTCCTTTTATTTATTGTTAATAGAGTATTTTTGCCTGTCAGGAGAGTCCTTTTGTCTATGTGTAATGTCCTTAATTTTAATGTTAGTAGAGTTCTTTTGCCTGTCAGTAGAGTCCTTTTTTATTTTACAATGTTCTCTTTTCTTAAATTTGCTCGTCAGTACAGTCCTTTTCTATCATATGTACCTTCTATTTATTGTCAGTAGTCCTTTTATTTTATTATCAGTAGAGTCCTTTTATTTTATGGTCAGTAGAGTAGAGATTCTATTTGCTTGTCAGTAGAGTCCTTTTGAATGTCAGTAAAGTATTATACTGAAGTCTTTTTCCCTGTCAGTAGAATTTTTTATTTTATTGTCACTGAGGTCTTTCTGCTCGTCAGTGGAGTCCTTTTAATTCTAAAATATTATTTTCTTCCATTTTGCAAACTATTAAAATAAATTTGCCTGTCAGTAGAGTCCTTTTGTCTATCAGTATATTCTTTTCATTTTATTGTCAGTAGGTCCTTTCGGCTGTCAGTAGTCTTCTATTTATTGACAGTAGAGTCCTTTTATTTTATTTCGGTAGAAAGTCCATTTGCCTGTTAGTAGAGTCCTTTGTGTTTCAATAGAATTTTTTTGTCTATCAATAGAAGTTATTTTGCCTGTCAGTAGAGTCTTTTTGTTCGTCGGTAGAGTCTTTTTTATTTTATTGCTGTCAGTAGAGTCCTCTCGCCTGATAGTAGAGTCCTTTTGCG